CCATTCAAGAAGTTTCGCAGCTGTTTGGAGGCTATGTGTATTCCAGATGCGTTCTCCACTCAGGCCGCTGGAGATGACTTCATATTTTGGTGTACATGAAGGTGATGGCGGCAGCCAGCTCCTGCTTATCGAGGAACATCTTGGGTATCTTCCGCCCTGGTACTCGTATCCACGTCTTCTCTCTGGGCTGCGAAAACTTTGCTGATATGTGACTCGGTCGAAGTGACTTTTTTTGCCCCCCCCCCTGTACACATTGGACCTGCCAGAAATTCTCAAGGTTCGTCCCAGTATTGAAGTTAAAATTAATTAAATTGATGATATCAGAATCTACTGACAGTCATGAGCAACAAGTAGGACACAAAATGCTAAGCTCATCCATCGAGAAGATGGTGAGTTGGTCTACAGACTGGGAACTCCCCCTCAATTTGGCGAAAACTGTACATCTCCATCTGGGACCTTGCCCGCCCATCCCGTTCCAAGTTAATGGAACATTTATTAAGCTAGAAAGCTCTGTTATGGAACTGGGGATTCTTTTCGATGTTTCGTTGACATTTGCTGGGCATATTGAGATGGTCGTGAAAAAGGTTCTCAATGCTCTCTTTCTGATTTCGAGGAAAATGCAATGTAACGACCATGGTCTTCTTGTCAGTCTGTACAACATTTATGTTCGGCCTCATCTGGAATATGGTTCCATTGTGTGGAGTCCCTGGACAAAAAACACGAGAACAGGTTGGAAAGAGTGCAAAAGACATTTACAAGGCTTGAGTTCCAAGTCAGGTCACGCCGCACACGTCGCATCTCGGCTTGTCCGCGAGGCGACGCGGTGCCGCAGTTCTGGAGTTGCGTTACCATACTCATGTGTTGTCATTGGAGCAAGGGATTAGCGTTGTTTCACGGCGTCCATTATGGGAAGATTTGCTGTAGCAATTTCTTCGAATTCCTCTGCAGCAACAACTTCTACAATCTGCTATTCACTACTACATTGCTAATATTCGCCATCTTTTTGTGAAACTCTTCTGTTGTATTTTGCTGCTCTTTACATTTTTTACTCTACATTCACATTTTTTTATATACTTACTTTTACGTGAGCATTCCTGTTGTGCTGTTTTTCTCAGTTCTGGCATATTTACGAGGGTTGTCATGTAATTTTTTAACATGAACCCCATCGTAGACTGCTAGAATCCAGCACAGCGTCCCTGTATTTCCAATTATTTTCTCTGTCACCATCACTGTAATCCAGTTTCTACATAGGAGAGAGCATAGTGATGAGTGATTGTTGTGGTTAGCAAGGGTTCCGGTCATGGGATCTATTCTCGTCACCCGCTGTACTAGAGGCCTCACCTATGCCATCACCTTTTGAAACCTTGTGTCAGGATGCTTTCACAGACCAATACTTGGGAATCCTTTTGCCGCCCGACTAGGAACCCTTTTGCAAACTATTTTCTCGGGAGCGAAATTCTGAGTAATTCTTATTATTCTTATTCTTGATGTAATCATGTCCCCAGTGCCAGTTCCGATCAGCACAGTAGCTATTTCTGCCGCACGCCTCTTGAGAAAGCCCTCCATGACACCATACACAGAATTATTCTCAACTTCAATCAGCGCCCAAAAGTTTCCGTTTCTTCGCGTCCTTTTCGATAAAACGATGGTCAAGTGGCATTCTCTGAACAGTTAAGCCTGCCATTTCATCCAAAGATCCACAATGCTTTCCATTAGCTGGTGCTACTACAGCTACCCATGGCGAAACAGTCTCTCACTCTCAGCAGAAGCGGGGTAATCAACCAGACCTACACGTCTTCTTAGCAATCACTACCAGAGCTTACTTGAGGGCAACTGGGATGTTCGTTGGCACCTTCAGCGGTCAAAATTTGATTACTGAGCTTTCTGAACTTCACATGTTTGTTCCTTGGATACTAGGCTTCCCCCTACCCACGCTGCATCGGGCTTTGAACGGAAAGAAGGATGCATACTGAGAGGCCCCCGACCTGCTGCCTCATGAGCTATGACATTCGTTTTGCCTATACCGCAAGGCTCTCTCTCCCCTCTCTCTCTCTCTCTCTCTCTCTCTCTCGAAGTTCTATTCTCGTCTACCCCACTTCGACAACTCACATCTCAGTGTTCAAACATCAAAAAGCACGTGCTTTATTGAACTTAACATAGCACAACCACATCAAAGGGATGCATATCATCCCCAAAACGAGTTACAATTGATCTCATCAAATCTTACCGATTATCATACATATGAGCAGTTACAGAATCATACATCATTTAGAGTAATGTAATAAGGCACTACAACCGTGCACTGGGATAGTGATATTCAGACTCCTTCGAATCAAAAGTCCTTGAAGCCCAGAACCAATCATTTCGTACAGTACTCCTACATACAGTATCACATAAATCAGCACGAAGGAAAGGCACGGATCGGGCAATTCAGACGGTAACTAGCCAACGTCAACGAAGTTAAGCTGCTTGGGAGGACATGAATTCCCCGCATCCAGTCGACGAGGATTCCTGTCTTCACTATGACCGCATCGTAGATAGACGCTCGAATAGCGTTCCCCATCCTTAAAACTATACATAGCAACTGTTACAGGAACAATAATATCACAGCTCGCTAACGAGTTCCTCAGGTACAATCCGGTGGCGGGGGAGGGGCATTTTGCTTCGCTGGTTCCTGTTTACAAGTCTCACTCTTGTGAAGCTAGTGCAAGCTCGTCGAGCCAACATGCTAAAACCTGTCAACTCTTGTAAACTCACAAAATGGCTCTCTAAACGGCTCGACAGTCGATTGAAAGTAGCAATAAATGCAAAATGCCCCTCCCCCTCTCCCATCGCCGAACTGCCCGAAATTCCGTTCCAGAGGAGAAAGGCGACAAAGGAAAATTCAGCTGGCGAAATGAAGCAAACACGAGAGCATTAATCATGATTCGCGCTTTCGGAAGCGAATACAAACGGCTATCGAAATATTGCTGCGGCGAAAATACATATGTACAGCAGTTAGCGAGAATCGTTGTTATAGATGGCCGCTATGGCAAATACACCCTTGAAGATAAGGAAAAGTGGGGAAGCTTCACCTTTCGTGTCGGTATACTGAAGTCCAAAATACCATATTTCACGAATACCAATCGTTTGGACAATCTAAGGCGAAGAAATCATATCGAAAGCGATGCGAAAAGAAACACCTGAAAAAACGGCAAAGGAAAGCAACAAACCTGATCGAATAATTGCTTGCCGGTGGTGTTCGACTGGATTGCGAGCTCCAGTTCGGCATCCATAGTCCTGACGCGAACATTGATCTTCAAAAACAAGAAGTCATGACAACGTTCCTTAGCTACTGGTGTAATGGCCATAAACCAAGTTTTGAAGCAAAGGCTAATTCATGCTGGCTATATCAACAGCTATTTCACAAACGAATGAAAAACGAACGCGAGGAGTGAAGTAAATATCGGTGAAGTGGGGATGGACTTACTCCATTCACTCCCCAAGAAACTTCAATTCTCTGACGCGAAAAATGGATATTTCTCAAAAGGGAACCGAAAACTCAAAAAAAAACTCACGCTCATTCAGTCCAGGAAGCAGTGGGAACGAGATTCGATTTCTGTTAGCATTTTGTGGTTTCACATAGAGCCGCATATTCATGATCCTTGAAAAGTAATCACCTAGGCATGTAGCCAATTTTTTTTACTGTGCAGGATCTCGCTCCACAAACCGAGTTCAAACACACAGTTACTTGCTCAAATGGAATTAGCCCCCAGAGATAGCATTACATCGCGTAAGTGTAAATTAGTTATATATACGAACCCTTTGATACCACGGTGAAGCATAGAACTCCATTATTTATTCAGCTCGGCTTCTACAAAATACATTGAGCTAAAATAAATTAAAAATGTATACCATCGCAAAAATCAATCTAGTTCAACAACACACAAAATGAATAGCTTGCTAATAACCCATTAGTTTTATTTATAAAAAGATGTACTTACATGACGTAGATTCAGCACAAGGTTGATCTAATGAAATGGATGATGGATCTTCAGCAGACGATCCTTCGCACGCATTAGACATTTTTATAGCTTCTTTAGAAATATGACACAGAACGCTCTCAACTCGCACAAGAAGAGCACATGAATCTACAACGACATAACAATGAGATTCCATTCTCTCTCTGACTGACAGAGTTGTTAACGCGTCATAAAAAAGTAGACTTGCGAATAAACATGGCGGATGATCGGGAACGAGTATTTCACTATCAAACGAAGGGCAGTCGAGGAGCAGGAGATAATTTAATATCACTAAAGTATGCCCAACTCTCAGGAATGAGGTAAATATCGGTAAAAACCCCTAGCAAACAACAGCAAACATCATCAAAATGTGATGGACGAGTCCTTTAACAATTTGAAGGAGCCGCCACGCAATAGAACTCGTACGCGGCGGCCGCCACGCCGCTGGCTCCGCCCATCGGCGCGACGACCCACTTATCGTCGACGATAGAATCGCCACACACCAGGTTCCCGGACTCCCGGTAACCCCAGACACTTTCTCTCTATAAAGACCGCCTGAGGGCGTTGGCGTTGAACTGAAATATCGAAGATTTTTTAGCGACCTTGTATTTGCTTTTCGGACTTTCAAGAGAGAGGTAAAACTGACAACTAGTAAATACTGGATCTTTCGACCATAGAGGAGAATTAAAAGTGGTGTTCAATTCACTACAAGAAATTACAGCGACATCGTTTGAATGTGGTTCTAATTCATTCTTTTTGCGAGTAGTTAGGTGGTTGCGCTTGCTACCCCATGATTTGCTTCTATGTAGGATTCGAAGGAGTTCAAATCATGTTTGAAGAAATCTGATATTTTCAGTCTTTTGAAAGTTGAGGATGTTCGGTAGCAAGGTAGTACCTGGAATTCACTTTCGCCACATTCTCCATATACGCCACGTTCTCCTATCAGTCAATCTGGACTCCGATGGGGAGCTTCTTCCGGAATCACATCTTTTTTTCTTTTTCCCTTATTGCTACTGGCCAGAATTTTTGCTCCCTAGGTGGTGAATTCTCCAGTGTTGTAGGCAACGAAATATTCGAATAATGTCGCCATGAAACTTATTGCCTGAGGAAAGAGTTTCAGTAGTGGACTGGCGGGTCAGGGACTGGATTGTTAGGTTATAGGGAATACCTAACATCCGAAAATTCAGTCTCTGATTCCATATTTCTGCCCTTATGTTCGTCCAGGAGTGGCGTTTTCCCTAGCGCCATCCGCCTGCTGAAATCAAGTTTCTTCACGGTACCTGAGATCATTTCATGTACACGGCACCTGTAGGTGATGAGACGGGCGGCTTGTTTTTCTCATACATACTAGACTGGACGATTCCCTACCTATACTATAAGCATTGTAGGTAGTAGTTATATTGCTCTGCTATCCTGCTGCCTTCTATGTCTTCTATGTCCGTTATGTGTGTTTGGATTTTTTTGGGTTCTATTATGTTGTCTTCTTTTGTGTTGAGTTTCGTTCCTGTTTGGTGTTTTGTATTTTTTTCTCTTTCTTTTCATTTTTCTGTCTTTTCGAGCTGATTTACATGGTATCAAGGAATGTAGCGCACCTAGGAGTGCATATAATCACCCCATATATATAATTCGCTTTGTCTGTTTGTTTGTTTTGTTTGTAAGTTTGTAAGTTTTTGTCTGTCCGGAAATTCGGTTCGACCTGAAGAACGACTTGGAGAGGTCCAGTCAAGGTGGGGATAGGTAGGGCATGGGACAAAATAAAAAGCACACTTGACCTATGGGAAGCCCCGCCCACAGTGGGCGGGGCACTCGCCGAAAGTTTGGGGTTCCGCAGAAAAATGTTCATAATTCGCTTCCGGAGCAGCTTAAAGATGGGGAAAAAAGGGACTAAGGTTAGTAAGGAGTCGCCAGACTAACTGTGGCAGGTACACCCTAAATGGGCGGGGCGTACTCAAGGTGGGCGGTGCTTCTCGCAAAATTCAGTAACCCGGTTCGCGAGAGTGTTTGGAAGTCGCAAAAAACTCAGTGTAGAATGTAAATATCCGGCGAATACAGGGCACGCTCAAAGTGTGTTGAGACCCGCCCACAGTGGGCGGAGCTTGCCCTAAATCGCAGGATACTCATTTTTAAAGTTTGTAGCTCGGTTCCAGAGCATTGCAAAGACCGGAAAAGCATCAAGGTCGGCAAAGGGTCCCGGTGAGGACTATGGGGCAAAACACTGTGGGCGGGGAGGATTGTTGGGCACGAAAATTGGGGGCGGGGCCAGCCCGAGTGGGCGGAGTCAGACAAAAAGATCTGCAAAACTCTCCCAGAGCACTCCGAAGACCGGAAAAAAGTGGATTAAGGTCAGCAGAGGGTCGCCAGTGAGGATTGTGGGGCACAAAAATTGGGGGTGAAACCTGTTTCGAGGTGGGCGGAGCCAGACAAAAATTCTGTAGAACGGTTCCAGAACACTTCAGACACCGGAAAAAAGTGGAGTACAGAACAAAAGGCGGATATCAGTTGAGTCTAGAAATATGTGAAAGAAATACGCGCGGCGAAGCCGCGCCCGCCCGGCGCAGCCGGGCCGTATCAGAAGGAGCCGCGCCGGCGTCAGCCGGCGAGGCGACTGGTAAATAAATAAAACCTAGGGAATATAACAAAAGAGGTAAACAACATCATTTATATCGCGACCTCCTTTTTCTTCTTTACAGCTTGACAGGGTTGTAAGTGAAAGTGTAGCGAAGTGTCGATGGAAGTCACTCAAGAAACTGGAGTTGGTAGAGATTTCAGAGATAAGTAGAGATCTCAGAGAATCTGACAAGGGAGGTCCTTCAGGTCGTGGTGAGCTTTTCAAAACGGTTTGTTGCATGATGTAGGGGTCCATGCAAGGACCACACAGATGGGGTTCATTTTTGCTAAACGCTATTGGGAATGCCAAAAAAGGTCAAATATAATTCGAAAAGAATGGGCCATTTAAACCACCTTATTCGCCTCCGTTCTAGCTGTAGCGTTGACAGCGTATAGTATGTGAGGTATTCTTTGAGCAGGCATGAAAAACAACGCAAAATAAGGTCAAAATTCAAGTACTTCACTTGAATTGTGATGAGCTACATAGGGGTTTCATAGTCATCTGCGCATATCTCTTCGATGGTGCTGCATCTCATCGTAGTGACCGGTGGTGTGGTGGATAACGCGATGGACTCCCAACCGATAGGTTTGTGGATCGGATCCTCTTGACGATTTTTTTGCATTTTTCAGATCTTGTATTCCTGTGTGCCCCATAATGTGTATGACCCGGATATACGCCATTTAAGGGCACATTCTATGAGGTAATGGTTCACAATGGGGTCTCACGCAACTATTACGCTCGCGAAATACTATCGAAGGAACTCCTTCTTTTACCGCGGTTCAAGGCCTTGATCACGAATATGACACTCATTTTTGAATATGGCGCAATGTGTCGCCAATTTGGTGCAAAGGCTTTCTCGTACTACCATCACTGTCAGTCTGCGCGGCGGGCTTTAGCGCCATACTGGCCCCAGATGGCCTTCGCGTCAAAAATAGGTATCAAAACCGTGATCGGACCCCTACACCTTGCAACAAACAAGACAAACAAATCAACTCCTCAACTTGCTTTGAATGCGCAGACGCTCATAGCCTCGAGAACTTCAGCCGGGAGCAGCTCAAGCCATCTGGAGCCGCGGAAGAAGAGAGAATTTGAGACAAGAAGGTGGTGTTGCCTTTTCACTACAACGCTCTGTATTCCTAGGAGAGAAGTTCGCCGTCTACTAGGCTAAGCGTCCAGTATTTACTGGCCCTCAAATTAATTTCATTTCTGAGCACTTTGAAACAGAAGACAAGGTCAGCAAATACTCGACGGTAAAGATGGCTTCTCATTTTGAGAAGCTTCAATCTCTCTGTAGCTGGGCATCGAGCGGGGATAATCTGAATCGTATCAGTCGTTTCCCACCAGATGGTGTCGCTTACCCTCCTCAACAACTGGTGGAGAACGGATTTGGCGCTACTTATATACAAGCCGGCGGATTTTATGTATAAGCACAATGTGAGCTCAGATTGTGAGATCCCACTTCTCTCAGCTATTGAATTCGACAGCTACAACAAATGAGGACAAAATTCTGAGTCATTTCAGAGATGGCGTACGCTCACGTACTCCCTGGCCATAGCAGGTGGAACACATTCATCGGTCTTCAGCGCAACCATGAGAACAGGTTTGTGTGGGACAGTGGTAGCACTTGTTCGTTCAGAAATTGGAACGTAGGAGAGCCAAATAATGTTGATGGGAAAGAACCTTATGTTGAGGTACTTTTATGTCGCTTTGGACGCCATGTACGACGGCTGAACCTACAATTTCCAGCTTTATAGCGATGGTAGTCGCAGTATCCATGTTTGGAACGACTGTCCGCTTACAAAAGAAAACGCATATATCTGTGAAAGAAAAAGGTGTCCTGATTAATGATTGAGTTGGCCGCAGTGCGTGGAGATTCTGGCAGCTACAATCTTGAAGATGAAACTCGTTGCTGTTATTGAAACACGAGCCTAATGAAGACTAATTCCGAATACACCGCCTCAGTATGGCTTAAGTTGTGCACTGGAATTACGTGGCTACTTGGATTTTTAGGATGATCCTGACAGGGCCCCTCGATCAGTTTACCGCAATTGAAAATGGTGCGACCCACTGTAATCCACTGCTTGCACACGCCTGAACAAGCTAAAACCATTTGTACACGGTAACATCAGTGTGCTAGGCGTCATCTATGTCGTATTGCGCCCGTTATCATAAACCATCTCTCCTAACTTGTGTGTAAAATCTTTAGAATATCGTGGCAGACCCAGATCTCAGTACATTTGTAAATGTATTCACACACGCTGAAGGTGTTTATTCACGTAGAAATTCAGTTGCTAGGAGAATGTATCGGAGTGCTGCAACAGGGACTAGTAGCACTAGTCTGAGTGATTGTTTAGAAAGATGCATATTGTTTTCAAAAGTGGCAAAAGAGTCTGAAAAGTTTTCTGAAACTGTGATGATCACGAAGAGAACACGTATGTACGCGTGTCATCTACAGGTGAGTCGTGATGCAGAACTACTGAAATGAATAACTTTAATCTCCTTATATGGATAAACAATTTCCTTGTCTCCGCTTCAGTTTCATCGAGGAGAATTACCTTCATAGTAGCAACATGCAAAGTGCAAACAAGATGGTTGGGCCTTCTGGTCAGAATGATATTACTCCTCTGGAACAGTTTCTAATGAGCTTAGCCCGTAGAATATAGAAGAGCATCTAGTTTAAGTGCAAAACACGTTGAAAATACATCTTCTCAAGGAGTAAGCAGGACCATATGCTACGAACTTGCTTCTATTTACCAGCCAGGTAAGCGTTCCCATATTCTTTGACTTCACCAGTATTCCATTTTCTAGCTACCAACATGCTTCACTCCGAGACAAGCTGCTCTTATCGCTCGTTTCATTTCCGATGGTATTAGCACTTGAATGCACTGCAGTATTGTGGTAGCACAGTTAATCCCTAGTTGCTGCGAACGGTTGGTCGTGTTAGGCAGTATGAGTCACGCCGTCAAAGCCGTTCTCTGCCTTCTTGTTGAAGCGCGCATGCGACAAAGTGGTAGAAAACGAGTAATACGAACGATATGATACAGTCATATCATTTGCTCGCTTTAACAACTGGTGGAGAACGGGTTTGGCACCGCGCCAAACTCATTCCGCCTGACACGCCCAACCGTTCGCAGCGAACTACACTGTAAACACAGTTGACATGATAAATCCCTAAGACGAGCAGGAATAAGATGCCTGGCAGGGCAGGATCCCTCGCCCCTGAGCAGGCGCTGCGTGAGAAGATAGACTAATAAGGTTCTATCAAGCTACATTATACCGACCAGAAAGCCCGCCGCGCCCGCCTGCCCACGATGACGACCGGTACCTGATCTGATGCTCGTATTGCTTCATTTGCGAAGTAAAATATGAAGCGAAGGGATTGATATGAAGCGGCTGGGTGCTGCATGGATACATGAGTACATAGGTGCAGCTGTATCTAGCGTAGCGCTTATTGGCAAGATGCCCATGGGAACTCGCTAGAAATTGCTTTCCGAGTCATTGGAAAGGGATCACTTCGCAGGTGTTTGACCGTTTCACTTCGCTTTCGCCATTTCTCCACTATGTAGCAGCACCCTCCTAGCATTTTAGACCGAGTACCACTTTATTGTGCCATATGCCTTTGAAGGAAGACGCTGCCTCAATAAATATTGCCAACTGCCGCATCAAACGCCGACATGTTCGGTGTCATGCCTACCAGTCATGCAGATTGTGAGACAAGCAATGCATGACATCAGATTTCGTTGTTTGCCCATATGGAAGATTAGGAGATTACAATAAAAAGCTGGAGTAATATATCAACCTGAATGTAGGGGCTAAGTTCGCGCATCAAGGAACACTTAGCTGATAAAAGATGTGATAGCAAGAACACCCCCCGGGCAACCGTAAGAAGGAGCGAGGCGGGAATCGCGCTTGGAAAACTCCAGATCCATTTTGAATTTTCGCGTGGAAACCAAGGATGAACAGTTAAAACGAGTGTCCGTCACTTACAAATTAATTGCTATGGATCGCGTCCGCGTATGAGTGCGTCGATCGCTCTAGCGTACGATCACGTCGCTCGCGCTAGCGTACGATTGTGAAGCGGGAGTGATTAGACGCGACGCGACGCGCTTTAATACAAAAATTGACTGGACGGATGCTAATACGCAGCCGCATTCCCTTACCGGAGGTCTTTAAAGACGTGGAGCGCTTTTTGAAAACGGTTTTTTGCATGGTGTAGGGTCACGTGCATGGAGTACCAAACTGACGTTCATTTTTCCTACGCGGCTCTGGAAATACCAAAAAAGGAGTGAAAAAGAAACCTATGGAAACCGGTGGTTTTTGAGCCTCTGTGAGCTCTAAATCACTTGCAACTTCGACCAGTTGCTGAGTGGAGGGTCCTTATAAAGGCACTATTGGAATCGAGGAGAAAAATAGTCGCAAATGGGGTCTTACTTGTGGCATGTGATAAGAGTGAACGGCTCTGAGCGGCTCGTCGGAATATTTTTTTAGCGATAGGGGCGGTGTTCAGCTGCAACGATCGGATGGCCTAGTGGATAGCGGGAAGGATTCTCAATCGGACAGTGAGGGTGGGGGTTGATGGTTCGACTCTCCTCGGCTTGCGAGTTTTTGCATTTTTTATGTTTCGCTGTTCTCGCTTCCATATATGTCTGATTATGAGTTTCAACGCAGCCATGTCTTTCTCCCACTGGACTTGCTATGTACACTCATTTGAGGGAATTCAGGGCCATTCTGACACCAGATTGCGTCACGCCAAGAATAAGTGTCAGAATCGTGATCAGGACCATCGATTACCCCTATAGGCAAACTTTCGGCCAAAAAATTTTTTTGACTTTCCTTGACTTCTTGTATTGGGTTATGCTCAAGAGTCATTCTATTGATGTCGTACTTTTCCAAGTTACCGAACCCCCGATTCAGTGGTACAGAAACATAAAACTAGCAGCAACGATAAACGTCAACGTCGACAGTGTCGAAAAAAAAACAAATGGTTATCATTCCTTCAGGTGCATTTGAAAAAGTGGAGGAATTTGAATGAGTCCCTTCTCTTGGTAGGTTAGGACGACATCTTTGTTCTGCTCCTCTGCACCATCGAGTGTTCCACTGCCTCCTCGTTGCCGCTCCCTTCCCCCGCTTATTCCGCTCAATCCATTGTCTACAACTTATTTCCATGTGCTGCTTTGTTTTATCATTTGTTCATTAATTGCATGCTGCCGCTTATCGGTCAATTTCAATAACTATGTTGTGTTTTGTTCTGCTTTACTAACCGATAATAAATCATAATCATAATCATAATCTTTGATGAGTGGCAGCCGCTCGGGGTGGACAAATCCATATGGTTTCTCACGTAATTTGCGGCCACACAGGTTTATGCCAAGCATGACAGGAACCTCATGCCCACCGAATCCGCGATACGGCTGCCAGGCGGCTCGCCACGTCATCGTTACGTCATCGCCGCTCCAAAGGTGTGAGAACCCGGTCATCATTGCCGACCAAATGGTCTATCACAACTCAAGAAAGTAAAAAAATTTTTGGCCGAAAGTTTGCCTATAGGGGTAATCGATGGTCCTGATCACGATTCTGACACTTATTTTTGGCGCGACGCAATCTGGCGTCAGAATGGCCCTGAAAGTCCCTCAAATGAGTGTACATAGCGAGTCCAGTGGGAGAAAGACATGGCTCCAAATTAGAAATAAATGGCACTATAGATGCCATAGTCGTGATCAAGGTACTGAATAACATATAAAGACCAATTTTCGGAAGTTTCCAAAGATTAAATTTCGGAAAAGCATTGCTTAATGGTATATGAAAATTGAAATTGTTGAATAGCACCGACTAATGGGGTATAACTATTTAGAATATGCCTATAAATGGTAGATATCCGTTGAAACTCATAAACAGACATATATGGAAAGAACCGCGAAACATAAAAAATGCAAAAACTCGCAAGCCGAGGGGAGTCGAACCATCAACCCCCACCCTCACTGTCCGATTGAGAATCCTCCACGCTATCCACTAGGCCATCCGATCGTTGTAGCTGAACACCGCTCCGATCGTTGAAGAAAATACCGACGAGCCGCTCAGAGCCTCACTCTTGATCACATGCCACAAGTAAGACCCCATTTGCGACTATTTTTCTCCTCGATTCCAATAGTACCTTTATAAGGACCCTCCACTCAGCAACTGGTCGAAGTTGCAAGTGATTTAGAGCTCACAGAGGCTCAAAAACCACCGGTTTCCATAGGTTTCTTTTTCACTCCTTTTTTGGTATTTCCAGAGCGCGTAGGAAAAATGAACATCAGTTTGGTACTCCATGCACGTGACCCTACATCATGCAAAAAACCGTTTTCAAAAAGCGCTCCACGTCCTGAACGACCTTCTGGTTAGTTTTCCTTTCTTTCCATTTTCGTTAGCTAGCTTGTTTTTTTCACCTTCCTGCCGCTATTTTTTTAAATCTGTTCCTGATGTTTGCCTAATCATGCTTTACCTTTAACACATTGGAAATTTTCAGATGCATTTAAATTTTTCGAATAGATGGCCATGTGGGGCAAAAATAACGAAAAGGTACGCTTTCGCTATCTTTGAGAGGGGTTTTTCAGGTTTATTGTGGTTTTGGTTATCTTTTTGCTGAACTGCTGAAGTGCCGACAAAGCTGAGCACAGTGCGTTAGATGACACAATGAAAAAGATAACCAAAACTACAGGGAGCCTGAAAAACTCACCTCAGAAATAGGTGAGTTTTTCAGGTTCCCTGTAGTTTTGGTTCCCTGTAGTGGGTGCGCGCGCTCAACGCGACCCTTCACCCGAGAAATTTCAATATGGCAAAGGAAAAAAGCATAATAACCGACAAAC